ATATAGCATATTCAATGCTATGAACTAAAAATAGATAATATCAAATGTAATTTGATAAAAACTTATCGAACTAATACAAATTGGAGGGGGAGGATGTGTGCTAATTTCCTCAACTTTCATAGCAGACAGTTAATGAATAGATAAACAGAGAAAAAAAGGACTTAAGCATAGTATCTGATATAATAAGTGTTTAGCCATCAAATAACTAAAGGCGGAAGCTGTTGTGGTTGACTTTGGATCATGAGCCTTGTGGGGAGAGGTGAGGGTAGGAAGGGAGAGTTTTCATTTGGTATCTTTTACGCTGTTTGCTTTTTCCTCACACATACTTCTAATTTAAAAAATAACTACAATAAATAAATAATTATACATCTATGTAACAGAAAACTATGCAGCAGTTAAAAGTAATGGAGTAGATCTATTTGTTTTGACCCAGAAAGCTATCAATCATATAACCTATGTTTAAAAAGCAAGTTTTTAGAACAATACTTAAAACATAACATTTAACTGCGTTACAATAAGCAGCAAAACTGATAAGATGTTGTCCCTACCTTCCAGGAGATTTCTGACCATGCACCCACTTCTGTGTCCTCTGCCCTGGGCCCTCTGGCCTGCTTGGGACCTCTTCCCTTTGTAAGATGCATGCCTCTTATTTGCTTGCTTGTTTGTTTTTTAGGGACAAGGGTCTCCCTCTGTCACCCAGGCTGTAGTACAATGGAACAATCATAGCTCACTGCAGCCTCAACCTACTGGCCTCCAGCAATCCTCCCTCCTCAGCCTCCTGAGTAGCTGGGACTACAGGTGGGCATCACCATGCCTGGCTAACTTTTTAAAAATTAATACCTCTTTTTGCAGTAGATAACAACTATTGTGTACATATTTCAAGTAATAACTCTTAAGTTCTTGACTAGAAGTGCTCAGTCCAAAGTCTGGCGTGAATGAAGCTGCATAAGAGACGAACAGCTTTCTACACAAATATCTGGTGGAGGGAAGCAGAGAGGGGAGTGAGAATCCAAGGACTGCAGGATGTCAGGCCTGAAAGACTCCTCAGAGAGCCTGTAGTCCTCCTCCCTCGTTCACAGAGAAGGAACACTTGTGGGGCCCCGAGAGGGGCAGTGGCCAGTAAAAGGTCATGCGGTTGAATTATGATGTCCAGAAAAGACAGAACTGGGCTTTGTGAACAGCCAGCATCAGGAAACAGTAGACAAGCTGAAGGCTGACCTGGGAGCCTGAAACCATGGCCTGCAGAGAATCCTCCAGGAGGTTCAGAGGGGGCCCATTCAGGAGCTGCTCAGAATGCAGATGGCTTGACTTTGAGGGGAGGCCTGGACAAATCGGACCACATCGCCCTTCCCTAGTGTCCATGGTAATGCGAAAGAAGAAGTTTTCATATAAGTAGAAGGGGGCGCTTTGGGGCTGACGGGGAGGGGCTTGCACAGGAACTGGCATTTTCTGAGCATTTCTGATGCACCAGACATTGTGTGAGGTGCCTTCTTGTGCATTCTCTCATTTAATCTGCACAGAAGCACCATGAGGTAAATATGATGACCACAATTACAGAAAGACAATGATGGTAAGAAAACTTAAGTGCTTGGGCGCAGTGGCTCATGCCTGTAATCACAGCACTTTGGGAGGCCAAGGCAGGCAGATTACTTGGACTCAGGAGTTACAGACCGGGCTGGAGAACATGGCAAAACACCATCTCTATTAAAAAAAAAAAAAATCAGTCCAGCGTGGAGGTGTGCACACCTGTTGCCCCAGCTACTCAGGAGGCTGAGGCAGGAGGATCACTTGAGCCTGGGAGTGGAGGTTGCAGTGAGCCGAGACTGTGCCACGGCACTCCAGCCTGGGTGACAGAG